TTATAGAAGATAATTAAATTGTAATTCATACTTAAAAACATAGCTGAACAAATTCCTAACCATTAGTCCTTTTATTTAGTTCTTCCTGTTTAGCAAAGTACAGAGGGAGAGACTGTATTCAAAATACACTTCACAGAATACTTTTCTACATGCCCCTTCATGAAGCATGGAAAGCAGATGCCTTGCAATACTGTATAATTGGCTCCTACAAGATCATTGTGTAGTGTGTGAAGGGACTAAGTGAGGTTTATCTCATCTAGAAGCCTCCCCTTCTGTCCTTTGAAGAGCTGGGGAGGAGTTTCTGAGGCACTGAGCACACTAATTTTCAGAACTGTTAAGAGAAACCTCTGGTTCTCAGCAACTCTGTAAACCAGGTTATGGGCATCTCACTTTTCCCAATTTTTCAGAAAAAAAAAAAAAGACCTAAATAGAAGTGCAGAAACTTTAAGTCTTAACCTTACAGCAATCATCTCATACTCAGGGCTTTCATTCCCTCCCTCTAGGCACTCTCTTCATCTCTCCAGCATCACCACTTCACATGTATGTTCTTTCCCTCCAGTCCTTAGTCTCCACCATTCTCCCTTCACTCTCTGATAGTTTTGGAGAAACTGTCTCTTCTCTAAATTTCCCCTAAGATTACAGTTAGTGTCTTTCCTTCCCACTCCCAGTCAATCCTCTCTCTTTCCAGTCCACAAGGAACCCTGTCTAGATACTTGGTAAACAAAGTTCACATGGAACATGTGAGTAACCAATTGTTTCATACTGGCTTTTTCAACCTAGCAGTGCCATTCAATGAAGTATATACTCTTGTAAGAAGTACCATAAAGATTTTATGACAAATGTGCTATGAATTGAGAAGATCTGCAAGTATTTTTATCTAAAATCATGTGGTGTACAGCTGTTTTTTGCTGGAAACACACTTAAAATGAATGGAGTATTCAAGGATTAAATTGAATTATATTGTTCTTTCTAGCCTATAGAAGGCTTTTTCTTTTTCTTTTAAGATCTCCTTCTTCATCCTTCTTCAGAATTTTCATCTGTACTTGCATGAATTTTTTGGTATAAACAATTTTTTGCAGTAAACATCAACTCATAATTTACTACATTGATACACAACATTATTGGAGTTTGTTAGAAACTGCAAAATACATTMTATTTCTGCTATAAATGAAGACATGCATAGTGGTGAACTCTTAATTCAGAATTCTCAGGGATTAGAATAAACTCAGTAGGACTACCTGCTGTGTCACACTAGTAGGCTCTCCACAAGCTCAACCACCTTTGTAGCCAGAGAGTGGAGCAGCCCAAAGCTCCATGTTATTTTCTATCAAAGAAGTTTTTAAGATGACAAGGGCCAAGATCTGTAAACATAACCAGTGGGTTAATGACAGCACCCAAACAAGGCACTGTAGGAAACCAAGCCCACATTAAGAATCTCCCAAAGGTGGGTAGAGTTGAAGATCCTCCTTTTTCTCCAAGCCACTTAGAGTAGCACTTCTGTGCTTTGGCTCAATTTCTAAATCCATTTAACTGGATTTGAAAGTTAAACAATTTTGCAATTCTCTAAACCTGAAGACTATATCAAGATTTTAAACATGTTGTAGGCTTGTATATTACACAGTTGTAGTAGTCATTGGTTGCTACAAAAGCACCATATTATACAAAAAAATCCAAATGTTTAATTCACTGTCACAATGATTCACTGATTCACTTCCTGAACAATACTCCAGGTGCTGTTACCCTTTCAAGTGATCTTTTTACCCCAGCTTCTCCCTATCATAAATCTGCATCTTTATACATAAGAAAGAGTACATGCCACTGCATTGGACTACTTTACATTTATGTCTATGTACAATCTACAAGTTGATCAAACTGGAACAGCCCATGAATGATTAAGACAAATTGCATTAACTGCTATCCCATTTTTTTCAGTTAATACCATGATAATAAACCTGTACATTTGAGGACAAAAAAGAAGGATATTGAACATGATGGTGAATAAAAATAAAATATTAATAAATTTAATCAGATAGATACTTCAGTAATTTGGATAGAAAAATTAAACCCCTATGTTCATAAAATTTAAGAAATATCCACTCCATATCCTCATTCAGTTCACTGAGATTACACAGATGTGAGTACACAGATTTAGCTAACAGTTCAAGAAGACAAGGACAGAAACTCATTCAACCTCAGAAACCTCATAGATGAGGTCAGCAGGAGGCTCTTTTTTTCTTCCTAATGCAATTGTCTTCTTTGTGTGGATGTTGGTAAAGAAAATATCATCTCACCAGACACTATAATATCCCCTAATATATATTCCCTAAAACAGATTCAAATGCTATTAATTGTTTTGGTAAGATAAACATTTTTCAATGAGTGAAAAACAGGAAGTGTTAATAAGGAGTTAAAGCTGAGAAATCATCTTGAAAATTAAAATAAATGCAAAGGTTTTATCTTCTTCCCCTTCTCCAGCTTTCACAGCAACCATTTCATAAATCATTGCAGAGTTTCATATGATGAAAGCAACCATGCCTCCTATTATACTATTTTAATCCACACAGGGTTTCTCCTTGTTTTCTGGAAGAAAACTTAAGCAAGTGGAAGTTATGAGAATGGTTAGAATAAGGTACCTCATGGACAGGTGCTGGGCAAGCAAGGACTGAACYGGAGCACTGCCAGAGCACCTCACTTTTGGCTGGATCTTTCCACAGCAGAAAGCTTAGCTATAACATCTGAATTTCACTTTCCAGCCACTTTCTTTTTTCATGCCTTTCTCCTTCCCCTGTCAGTGCTTCCCTTTGAATGCAATGGGGCTTAGTGTAGTGGCTATTCGGAACCCAATATAACTCAACTGTATTCATTCAAATATTGGATGAAACAATAGACTCGATTTTAAATCCCTGACTAGTGGTAGCAATAGATACAAAAATCTTCCAGTATTGGAAAATCTGACTGCATAATACAAAGCCTTTCTTTCAAGGCAGGGGACTATTGTTTTCTGAATAATTTCTGATTTTCTTCTTTTCCATTCTACAAGCTAGTCATTGTATTTCTTAGGTGCTTCTCCTAGTGYCTTTGAATGTAACTTCACAATAAATTCTATATTAGAAAGGCCAGGTAATTTTTTTTTTTTTGTTCTCTAGCTATCAAAAAAAYACTTAGCATTTTGGAGTGCTTATTATACAGAATGGTTTGGTTAATCATATTTAAATTTCATCTGTGATCCTTCAAAGAAGAATTTTTTACACACTCCTTGCTTTTTAGAAAAATGTTCCTGATAACATCAGCTTGAAAATCTTTCCCCAGAACCATATGTATGAGGAGACTCATCAGCCGATTCAAATCCACAGGCCGTGTCTCTTAGGAAAGATCTCTCAAAAAAAGGGGGTTTGTGGGTCTTGAACTTCAGATTTGTCTCTAATACTTAATTGACTGTGTGATGTTTCCTAAAATTCAGAAGTTTGTGCCCCAGGGCATACTCTCACTCCAGTCTGGCTTGGAGCCACAGCCGAAGTTTATTTTACACCATTTACAGATTTTGCCCCTTGACCAACAACTGATTTTTCTAAACTTAGTTATTTCAAAGTCTTGATTCATAGTATTACTGCAACTGAACATCTAGAGCTTTAATAKTTAAACTCTAATCAGATAGTTTCCACCAAAATGCATTCCAACAGCTGGACCTCAGATTTCAATGTGGCAAGACTACAGTCCGCGCTATTCTAATAGTGTATATAAAACCTTTTTTGCAGAAATGTGTTCAGTCCTAAACTTTACACTACTGTAACCTTGGGTGCAAAATTTAATAAACCATATCATCTGGTTGAATTTAACATTGCTGAATACAAATACYAGAAACACATAATGTTCATCATGAGATAGCAATTAACAATTTCGCAGTTCAAACAATATATACATAAGGAATAAACTTCCAGAAATTCTAAAATCACAGAAATGCTAGCATCTTTATTTACAAATTGAAGGAGATACGTGAATATGACAATACTCCTACAAGTAAAGGAATTTTATTTGCTCCGTAAACATTTTTTAATAGTAACAAGTATAGCCAGTGGTAAGACGGTAGTGAAATAAACAGGAGCTACTGTTCACTGTTTTATTAACTTGTGTCTATTGTTGTTTCTTAAAGTAAGGAAAGAAAGGAGAAAAGGCTTCAATGGAAATTAAATACATGAAAACAAAGAAAGTAAATCCATATGATTAAAAACAGTATACAAAGAAATCACATAATAAAGCAGCTGCAGGGAAGATTGGGTGTCAAAACTTAGAAAAAAACCCCTTCTTTGTATATATTGCTGCACTATAATTAAACCATTACATTGAAATATAATGCTGTTAGCATCGTATTAACGGTCACTAAAAAAAAGTAGAAGCTGTTACTCCATAATGCCTAACTTCTTTGGAGTACTTTTCACCTATAGATATCTGAAAAACTCAAAGCACAACAGTAATAGTTCTTCCAAATATTCTGATAAAGCTATTTTAATATTTATTCTGAAAGAACACACTTAAAATAAAGTTGCTTTTTAAATCTTTCAAGCTTTTGAGTAATGACAGCAGGCCTGAGCCCCTTGTCATTTCCCTGTCCCTATTTATTTCTCTCTTACATTCTCTGAATTAACAGTCTATTCAGGTAATTTGACATGGATGTACATTTTCCCAATATTCAACGTGTACAGGTTCATAAGAGTTCCCAGGCTAGAAGTCTTCTTTGCAGACCATTAATCAGGGCATTTGTCTGTGTAGCATGTGGAATTTTGCGTGAGTCTCTAATTGGCACAATGACGACACTACAGTTGGAAGTGGATTAACAGCCCTGCAAATGCACAGCACATTGGCACGCAAATAAACGAGAAGACTACAGAATAAAAAGCAAGACCATAGTGAGGGTTTTTTTGCAATTTTGTAACTTTAAAGTTATAAAATGGTACAATTTTGCATGTTCTAATTACAAAGAGGAAAAAAAAGCAATGATTTACCTGTGGAGATGAGGGACTAAAAGTGACATTGGTGACAGATTCTGTGTGCCTTCCCAGTTTATGTAAAAAAGTGCTTGAATGCATTTCATATATGTAAGCCTAAAAAACAATGAGATTATATTTTCGCTGTTAAAAAATAATCACTTTTCAGAAGCAAAAAGTTGTAAGAACACTAAATATGTAGCCTACAGGGAAGTTATAAAATTTTAATCATAGCTGAATAGATACAAAATTCATCAACATCTTAGAATTTATTTCTATAATTTGGGATCATTTAGAAAATGCTCACATTAACTCAATTTTTTAAAAAGTATTTAGAAAGAGTAAAGCACTCATTTCCACATAAATAGCTAAACATTAGGTGTATTTCGGCAGGTGAAAAATTATCAGTTTCAAATATTTTAAATGGTGTTCTTTGAAATTTAAATCCCTTCTTTTAAGTAGAATCTAATATGTTTCTAAATTTTAAAACTACAACATTAAGTGAAATTTTTTCAATTTCAACACAGGTCTTTGCAGTTTTTAATTGAACAGCATAGAATTCAATAACAATTCAATAATATTACAAGTGCTTGAGGAATCATCAATGAAGAAAAGCATACTGCTTGCCTTTATTTCTCAAAAGAAAAAGGTAATAGTGCTTTTCAAGGAGAAAATTAAAATTTTATTGGTAGAGCCTCAAATAATGAAAAAGTGCCAATGCAAAATTGTATCCGGAGACCAACCCAAAATTCAGTGTCAGCCCTGGACATACTCATACTATGAAAATGGTTGCATTGTTATATTAAATCAGCATTATTTTACATTAAAAAAAAGGGTTTAGAATAAGTCCCATAGTACAGGTCCTCCACATAAGAAACACTTGTGAGAGTCACATGCAGACATACAGGATTGTTTTAGGCTATTCCTTGTCTAATAAAATAACAATTATTTGTAGGACAGACTATGCATATACAAGGCATATTAAAACAGACACAYAACATGTAATCTTATTTGGCACATTATAAATAAAATGTGTATCTCAAACAATAGAATAAACTTTAAATCATGCAAAAAACATTCAAATATGGTAATCAAAACTTTACAGTTTCAATAAAAAAACTGAAGCTTCATCGTCTTTACTAAATTTCTACAGTTAATGAATACAGTGTATTACTCTGCAACTCTAAGTTTTTWACTCATAGTACCCTAAAATAAGTTCTATCATTCAGACTCAAGACAGCTGCTGCACTCTATATCACACAACCCTACTGTCCAGACTTCCAATGGGTCTTCCTTCTATGAACTAGATTGCTAGAAATGACCTTTGTACTCTAGCAAGGATCAGCTGCAGTCAAGTTGACCTTTACCACCACCACCACCACCACCACCACCACTGTTACAGAACAAACTACAGTGGTCATGCTCACACAATTAATTTTAATGTGCAAGTGTCAAGAAAATGAGAGATAAGATGCTGTAGAAGTCCATATTCCAGAGAAACTCCAGAAAGGAAAAAAATACACTGAGTGAGGGGTGAGCACAAAGCATTATAAGCTGCACAAAACAGGATGCTCCTACACACCTAACCAACTAGAAAGAAAACAGGGAGAAATCGTTCTCACCAAACAGCACTCTGAAATTCCAAGGACCTTTTGTCAAAATAGTTCAGCAGTATCAAAATATTCAATAATGTCACAACAATTTTAAGTGATTAAAATATATTCCCTTTGGAACAGTGGGAATGGCCAAAACAGGACAAATATGTCATGTTTTTTAACAAATTAACATATACATACACATACATTGTTCCCTATTTCAGAACTTTGTCAGAAATAAGAGCTTAAACAGAATAGAACTRTACTGGAGATAATAAAATCCAAATCCAAGTGTTCAGTACATACAATAAGTCATCTGGCCTCTGCACAACTGACACACAGGGATCTAGTAAAATACATTGCCTTCCTCTCACTTCTCTTCAGCCTATTCTCCTTCCGTTTATTGAAAAGAGGAACAGAGGCAAAGTCAATGACAGCAAGAATCAAGAGCACAAAATGCTCTGACTGACAAAGAAACATGCTTCATTTTTTAACCAAGACAACATATTACAGAAAGATGTGGTTAGTGAAGCTGAAATGTTTCCATCGTATAATCTAGTGCCTTACAGAACTTTGCCAAAATTATCCAATAAAAAATAATTTTCCATTTCATGTTCTCAGCTTAATTAGGAAGGACCAGGTTCATTTTTGGCTTAATCTTTATGTCCCTGTTCCACTCTGCAAAATAGATGTGATAATATTTCATTATTTTTGAAGAAAAATCAAAGTTTGTTAAACCCAGATATTCTAGTAATTTATGCTCTTCCACACAGTTTCTAAATCAACCATTTGGCTCATACCTTTCCTTCAAAAAATGTTGTTAAGCAGTCATGCAGCTTCAATATAATCTAGCAAGTGTGTATTTGGAGCTATAGTCACACTTCTCTACCTAAAAAGCATTCAAACCCTTTACCTTCCACCTTCAAGAAATGATCCTTAGCCCTGGGCTAGAGATTAGGCTGGGATGCAGCTCTCTTCCAAATTGTCACATCGCATAACAAGATGCACTGGACCAGAGGAAAGTAATGACAAGCAGCTACAGACAGAAGCCCACATGTAGCAAACCACCAAAGCATTGGAAGAATGGGAAAGACCAGAAATGGGAAAGCCTTTTCATCCGACCTTTACTACGAAGACTGTTCATATTGCTCATATTGAACAGCTGCTAGACAAAACATGCAGAATGTGGCTGGGAACACAAGCTGCCCATTGCACTTCACTGTTACAACTCCATTTTAATGGAACTACTGCTAAACGTCTTTCTGATACTGTATTTCAACCCCAGCAATCTTAAATATTTAGGTGTTATGGTTCAACAGAAAAAGGGACAAAGTCTGTAGCTACATCCAATAATAGTTTCTTACATTGTGGCAGCTATCATCTTCTCTTCCAAAACTGATTTAAGGAAAAGTAATAGTAATTTTCTGAGTAATTTTGACATGTAACACAATAAAACATAATAAAAAGAAAAACATAATATAAAAGTGTATAGACCCAGCTTCTGTTTAAGTAGCTCTAGCCACAGTTATTTAAACTGTGACTTCAAAACTTTCAAAACAAAACAAAAACACCAAAGAGAATTCTATTTTAATAGAAATAACATTCATAAAAAGAGGAATTACTCCAGTATAAACATTTTTCTACTACAGTCTGCCATCATTTTAGTTTTGCTGTGTTTTCTGATGTCATCCAAATGGTTTTTCTATTCTATAGTTACTAGACTATTTTAGCATAGCCTTCTCTACAGGAAAAAAAAAAGAAAAGAACAGTAACTGAATTATAAATGAGACCATAACATTAACCACAGAAGAATTTTAAACAGCTTGAAAATATACAATGAATGACAGAGGAAGAATAGTTTTTCAGCAAACCAAATGTGAAGAGCAAGTAAACAAAACAGTTTAGGAAGAACTCAGCAATACCCAAAATGCACATCTGCTTACAATGTTTTAGACTTCAGCCAAAGTCAATTCTCTTTTTTTATTTTAAGACCTATTTCATCTAATAAAAATACTGATTCAGTACATACTGATATTTCCTTTCCATTTCTTGCTGAGGGTCAGCCAAAAGTAAAAATAATTTCCCTGTACCAATAGCTTCCAAAGAAGTTTCCTGGATCTGTAACCACATACTTACTTGTATTTCCTTTCACTTGACATTTGAAGAAAACTTGAAGTAATCAGTTTTCAGTAAGTCAGAGTGTGACAGTGTATTTAGCACCTTACAAGTACACATAAGATTCTGCTTTCTTCTCTAGATTTGTACCAAGAGACAAGGAAGAAGGGCAAAGGCTCTTCCTTGAGTGGAGGAATTTATATCCAAATGGAAAATTACTTAATTCAACTGCATTGGTAGAGTGTGCTAGATAAATAGACGCTTTATCTGTAGAGTTTCACTGTAAATTCGTGTCAGAAAACCTCTGTTTTCTCACACTGTATCTTCAAAGGAAACTTGTTCCCATTTGTTCCCACTGCCCCCTAGTCCAACCCATTGCCATACACATTTCTGTCAAACTACTTACACTCCTACAGCCTCCTGGGATAGGAATGAGGGGGAATCAAATAATAAACAGTGAAGAATAACAAAAGAATTCTTGCTATCAGCTTTTGCACAGGGATCAGAAAAACAACACCATTTTCAAGGAAAACCCTTTGTTGCTGCTGTGGCTTTAAGCTGAAGTGCGTATTTTACAAACCTATCACAGGAAAAGAATCCAAATAACAAATAAACAAAAAAACATTAATATCTAAGATATCTAATTTGGCCTTACACAAACAGAGATTCCGTCCTTCATGTGTTTTGCATGGATTGGCCAAAGTCATCACTTTTCTGTAAATATTTTTCTTAATATTTCAACTGAGCTACTGAAGATAGAAATGTTAAAGATGGTTGGTAGGAATAGGAAAAAAATAATCTAACATGCTTTTATAAAGATATCTGCAGTTATTAACAGGGCTTTATTTGCCTCCATCAGTGCCATCAAACTTAATGCATAATCCCACACACACTACATGATACAATTGTTTCACTTGCACTCTATCACTCCCTGTTTATGCTGGGGCACATATGTCACTGAACCATGTATTTTTCCTCACTCTCAAACTGGAAAAGCTCCTGAACTACTTACACTAAAGAAAAATAACAATTAACCTGAAGCAGACACCAAGCATGGAAAGTTTCAGCCCAAAATGTTCTCAATTTTAAGCAACTGAAAACAAAATTATAGTGGAAAGTGTTAGACTACCTTAACTGTAGGTATCAGTGCCAAATCCACACATAATAAAACAGATTTCACAAATATCCAAAGCACTGATTAATGTTCTTCAGTCCCATGATATCTTACACGCTTGCCACATGGTAGCATGGAAAGTCTAATCAAGCCTGGCAGCAAAATGTTGAGTACAGTGCACCCTCTCAGAGTCCCTTTCCCTTTTAATGATGCCTTTGTGGAGACTGTCCTTCTGGTAGTCACAGGAAACTTCCCACTACTGAAAGATCCCAGTTTCCATATGATTTCCTTTG